AGCCGCCAGCCTGGTCCCGGGAAGAGAAGGTGGGCTGGGGGACATCGGGTGGGTGGCTCTGTGCCGTGCCAGGTGCAGGGTCTGCTTGCTGGGTGCTGGCAGGCTTGCACCTGGCACGGGCACTGTAGCCAGCCCGTGCCCTTTTAAGCGGTCCGGGGCCGGGAGGGGGGCAATAGAGTTTCCCTGGTGTTGGCCAGAGTGGCCAACAGGGAAAGCTGGGGAGGGCTAGTCTCCCACTAGTTCGAATTAAGGGGCTACACATCCCTTAATTCAAACTAGTAAGTTCGAACTAGGCTTAGTCCTCGTAGAATGAGGTTTACCTAGTTCAAACTAAGCGCTCCGCTAGTTCGAATTATGTTCGAACTAGCGGAGCGCCTATCAAAGTTAATTCGAACTAACGTCCGTTAGTTCGAATTAACTTTGCAGTGTAGACATACCCTTTGATATATTGGGATTTGCCTATCTTCTGAGTGCTTGGCTTTGCAACTATAATAATAATAATAATACCAGGCTTCAGCAAGGTTGGAACCTCTAGTTCTACTACACAGACCTCTCACACTTGAGCTAACAGGTTGTCATCCATGATGTGGACCAGGGAATGAAGTACATGTTGCAAGTGGGTTCCCAGATATTTGTTGACAGCAGAGGAATTGGCAGACTTAGGAAACTTGGGTTCCATTCCAGGGTCTGGAGGGGAGTGTGCACTAGTAGTTCAGCTTACGTCAACCTAATTCTGTCAGGGTATGTCTACACTACCCTCCTAGTTCGAACTAGGAGGGTAATGTAGGCATACCACACTTGCAAATGAAGCCCGGGATTTGAATTTCCCGGGCTTCATTTGCATAAGCGGGGAGCCGCCATTTTTAAAACCCCGCTGGTTCGAACCCCGTGCAGCGCGGCTACACGGGGCACGAACTAGGTAGTTCGAACTAGGCTTCCTAGTTCGAACTACCGTTACTCCTCCTGAAATGAAGCGCTCCTAATGAGGACACAAGGACACATACCACCAATAGGAGAGTAGAGTGGATATCAACCACAACAGGAATTACTCCAGTGCTTGTAAGTTGACTTAGCATAAACTGACATAAGTCTGTATTGTAGACATGCCCAAAGATGTCTCTATTGAGCTAGTAAAAAACCTGGATTTTTTCAATTGCTTAAAACTTGGACCAATTTTCCCAGATACAGCAAAACCACATCCCTGACATAAAGACCATCCCTCTGCTGCATGTCAAGTCCCTGATACAAAGCATGGGAAGACAACAGGTGTTCAAAGAAAAGGTCTCACAAATTTTTAACACAAGCAATACAATGTATTTTCCCCCTAGCCTCATTCTCAAAAATGGCAGAATTACTTCTGGCTGAAATGTTTTCCACAACCCCCAAAGAGATATTTTCCTTAAAGCTTTGGCTGTCCTTCAAAGAGTCCAACTCTGATGTTTAGTGATGCTGAGCCTATCCATAAGTCAATAGAGTGACAGGTACTCAGCACATCTCAGGATGAGTATCTACAGAGTAAAATGGAGAGCTGCACAAATCTTGGCATCCTCTGATTGTTAACAAATATGTTTATGTTTATTAACCAAAATGATTTACACTATTGAAAAAAGACACTTGCAATGTCTTTTCAATTGGGATAAACATTTTCTGGTTTTGCATTTTGTTTGTAATACCTCTCTGAAAACAACTCTATTGGTTTTGTTCTTTTCCAATGAGCAAACAGGATCATTTCCCCAAGTCAACATAGATTTTCTCTGTTTATTTCTTTGCTGTTCCATCAGTATCATTGGCTCTGAGCACTGGTTTGTTAGTTAACTTGTGCTCTCTGCTGGAAGACTGGCTTTGCAGTGGCAAAGCAAATGGAAGTTAATGTAATTGGTCAGAATGGTGCAGGTTTTCTTTTACTCTTGGGCACTTTAATACCTAGGGGAACAAAAACTTACTTTAAAACTCTGGCAAAGTACTTTGCAGCAGACGTATAAAGAAATTAATTTCTTCAATTGTATTAAACAGATCACTAAGCAGCATTAATTGAAGCTCCATTCCTGCAATCCCACCTGAAAGAGGTTTTGCACAGATGTGGGTTGCCAGGGGGGAAGGGAGAAAAGGAAAGGCCGAAAGAGCAGCACAGAGTGGTGCTGCAAAGTTCTGTGTTCCTTTCCTGGCAGATCCTGGGAACCCTCAACTTTCTTTCCAACTGTCCTGTCCTCAGCTTCCATGGAGACGATCTAAAGGCAGATCCACAGACTTTACCTGATGGTTTACCTCTGTTAGGTTCTTGGCTCTTCTATCTCTCTCTTGCACATATTTGTCTGGGAAAGAGCAATCTTCCCAAAAATTGTTCAAGTCATTACTACTTGTGTGCCTGTGGAAAGGACACTGCAGCTTTTCATAGTGCCTGTTGAGTTTTGATCTACGTTGGTTGGCTTATAGTGTGTGACTGGAGTCATATAATATATTCATTTACTGGCTGAGCTTGTATCATGTGTTCAAGTGAAGCCATTTTAAAACAGTTATTCAGTGGGGGTGCAGTCTTTTCTTTTCTTTTCTCATGGGAATTTTTTTTGAAATTTTATAGGAATTCTTTAGGAATGTATAAATATCCATAGAATCAATCTACAGAATGTAAGTTGGGCAAGGAGAATAGGGTATAGTCGTGCAGGAGCAGATATGTGCAGTAGGATTGCCTGATTTTCAAACACACGAGTTACATAAGTTGGTAAAGAAGTAGTTAGTCAGATCCTCTTTCTACCCTGGGTTTGTAACGTCAAAGGATGCATCAGTTGTTGTGTGCAACAGTGAGTTTGTCCATCTGCAATACTTCGCTATGTCATAAACTTATTTTTTCAAGAATTCAGTAAGAAAAAAATGCCATTTCCACTTCTTTTTACAACTATAACAAACATTTTGAGTAAATGGTTAACATGTTTCAATACAAAACAAATAAGCAGAGCTCTACAGTTTCACAGAAAAGGGAAATTTAATGGTGCAAAATTTCCAAAAATGGAATAGCAGAAGTTTTCATAAAAGTTTTCCTGGGGAGAAAAAAATCACTTTCACAGAGCTCTAGTATTCAAAAAAGAAAAAAAAAAGAAAAGGGGAAAAAATAATGTAAAAGAAATAAAGAAAGCCCCCTACAGGTTTAGATAAAGAGAATCCACCTCAGAGGAGAGCTGTGTTAGATTATATCTGCAAAAACAAAGAGGAATCCTGTGGTATGTTAAAGACTAACCGATTTATTTGGAATAAGCTTTCATGGGCAAGACCCACTTTACTAGAGTGAGGTAAATTTAAGTTATGCAGCACTCACAAGGTTTGCAAAATTTGGAATA